GTATCCCTACGATTCAGTTATCAGAGGAATTCTTCCATTAAAATATCTAAGTTTTCCAAAAGGGATAAAGTGTTCTACAGATTCAAATATGGTTTCAGGCTGAGCTGTTCTGTAGAGGCTATTGCAAGAAAGTCTAAAGGGTATTGAAACAAGAGTTGTTTTCATGTCACAGATTTTTAACTAAAGCTTCACCTTGAAGTACACTTGCTGGAAGGGCAGGCGGTTTCACATCATCACCTTAACTACCTTAGCAAGACACACCACTTTTTCTCCAAAGCCATCTATCTCCATAGAGGGAAACCAATTTAATTCTCTGACTCACCAAAATAGCTGAATTTCTATTAGAGTTGTTGGAAACAGTCTTTTCAGATTAGGAATTGATACTGAAACCACAAGTCTCATCCAAAATTAATTGAAATGTCTGTAACAGGACCTTGACAGGATTTGAGCAAGCACCGGAAAAAGGATCCCCTTCCATAACCATGCTATCACCACATGAAGAGATTTGTTCTCTATGCTTTGCAGGTGTCTACATTTACATCTGCTGTCTCTTTTCCTCACTATATATCTCAAATTGTTTTTTGAAAAAACAGCACAGCAACAGCAGCAACCTAGACTAAGAGGGATGTAAGGGAAGAAGGATAAAGAAAAAAATCTTCATTATAACAGAATTTACTAGGAATCAATTTCTATTCCTTGAAATTTTGTTCAGTAGAATAGATGATGCATATGGTCACAAAAAGGAAATGGCTTGTTTAATACATCTTTTCTACCTTTAATTTCTGGGATAGTATCAAATTCATATATTAGATTCCATTTAAATCATTGTAGTTCTAGTAACTGATTGTTCCTCATTCACATGTCCTTGTAAATGTGAAGCTAAGATCATATTTTTCATGTTTAATCTTCCTCTAACAATACCATCCTGTCAAGGCAATTTATTCCAATACAGTCAGCTCGTAAGATCAATATTTCCTTTTTTATAAGCATATAAGTACATGATAAAAGGTATTTCAGTTACTTGAAGTACGTCTGCTATCACAGAAGACAGAATAACAGTTTTAACTGGTGTGTAGAGTGTTGGTAAATCATTACTAAATAAAATTGGAAGATGTTCACTTGTTGCAGGGCTCTCCAACTTGTCAGACTGCAAGCTATCCAAAGGAAAAAAGATCGGAATCTGAAACTTAGCTAGGATACTCATATCATGATGACTTTGTATTAAAAAAATGAGTTTCACCATGGCATTATTTCTCCCATTGCAAATTTTTTTCTGTCCAACAACCTTTCTAGCATACCTACACTTAAACTAGAAAGACAGTATACAGACTCAACAATGCACTGAAATAATTTGGTTAAAATTCACTGTCAAAATAGCTCAAGAGCCAGAAGCTCCATCCCTCCTATTATTATTCTTCCCTTGGGAAGATTCTCTCCGCTACACAGAATCCTGCACTTGAAGTGGAGAACTGTCCTATCACTACAGAAAATTTCTCATACAGAGCTGTGCAAGCAATATTTATGATTTTATAAAGCAGGATTTTAGTTTACGAGCAAGTATCTACACAAATGCGGTTGTTTGCAAAACAGTGTTGGAAAAATGTCATGGGGATCCAGATGTAAATGAACGTCAGAAAAAATGCTGATGTTTGTATCTGCACAGTTTTTAAGAAAGAGAATAAGAAATTTTTATACAGCATGATTTATTAAAAATTTCTTCCCTATCTCAACTTCTCCCATTTTTTCAATAATATGCAGATCTTTCCATATGCCAGATGTATTCTTTTCATGTGCTTCCTTTTCTTATGCTATTCTGTGCTAGCAAAAAAGATACCCTAGGAATTCTTTCTGAAGGATTTATCAAATCCAAAAATTTTATATTTTGCAGGTTTGCCTTCAGCTTTACTTTAGACAATGATCACAATACCCTTCCTAGAAGCCTTTTAATGGAAAAGCATACTCTGATCTGTCTTTCAATACTGAATGTTTGCATACCGGAATCTAGGTGAATGATTAGATTTCAAATAACAGCTTTTATGAATATGATTGCAAATTTCATTCATTACAGCATTTCAAGATACAAAAATACATATTATGAAAACTGAATGCAAAAGAGTAGAAGGGAAAGTGGAAGGCTTCACATACTGAGAGCGACATAACAGCTGAATGGTAGCATTTCTGAACCAGCATAAGAAGAGAAAAAAAACCACTGGCTTTCCACTATAGATGATATATTCAGATCACTTTTCCTCTGCTATGCTTTGCATCTTTCTATAAGCATTTAGTGCTCTGAAGACAAAGTTTATTTTTTATTTAGGATGGTTTGTTTTCTTTTTTAAATCTGCCTAAACTGTGTGTCTGTACTGTCACTCATCGGTTAGCTAAACCAGGACAGTTCTCATGAAACTGGGAGCCACATTGGTGACTTTGATTCTGTCTACTGCTTCAATGAACTCATCACAGCCGACTGACATGAATCAGTAATGAAAGAAACTGTAAAGACCCTAATCCACAATACCTTCCAGATGTTGTATTGCATTTAGGCTCCTAAATTATTTTGAAATTTAAAGCACACAAAGGAAACCTGCTAAATCAGTAATAAATTTTAAAACATACAAATAATTACTGGGATACAGCAAAGTCCAAACCTGTTAAATGATTTTCACATTGCCTAACATTAAGGACTTCTTATTTATTTGCCTTGCTAAAAGGCAAACCTACCTGCAAATCCTACTTACACACAGAGACAACTGGTGCAGAAACCATAACTTACTTGTTCTGAGTCACCCTCTACACAAGGATCTCTCTCTCTGAATTACAAAAGATATATGAAAGGAAAAGGCAAAGTAGGCATCTAACCTGAAACTGTAAATAATATGGTCTAAACATTCTCCCTTCCACTCTAGTCACACACTCAATCCTACCACTGTATTACCTACAAGCATGTCCGAAGTATTCGAGCTGTGCAGACAGTAATTTTTGCCATCTCTTTAAAAGGTGTAAAGGAATACACAATCTTCATTAATACACTTCAGTGTATTTTCTTAAAAATTCTTTCATCACAGCTTCTCAAAATAATATAACTTGATGATCTAAATTAAAGCTATGTAAGGAACCCAAATAATTCAAATTTTTAAATTAGTGAATTATTTCACTAAAGATGATTTCTCTAAAGTGAAAACCCCTTTGGAAGCAGGTGCAAAGCTAAAACATTGTAAATAAATCACTCCTAAGCTGAGTACATTAAAAAAGCCCAATTTTTTTGCCTAAGTGGATGATAAATGTCTCAGGAGGATTCCATGAGAAAACAGGTGAAGTGGGACTATAAAAAAGAAATCAAAAAAAAGTGATATTGGTGTAATTAAGAGATATGGAAATCCTTTCAACCCTATGAATAAATATAAGCAAAATGCTTAACTCTTCCTACAAAATGACATAAATCTTGTAAAAAACATCCAGCAGAAACTGCTAAATGTGCAAACTCTCTCATTATCTCTGTCAGTATTGTTAGTTAGATTGCTGTGTCACCATGAGTCAGTCAATTACGCAGTCACTTTCATAAAGGGTATTCATCCCAAATAATGATCTCTTGGCCTCATTTCCCAGAGTTTGTGGTCTTGCTATTTTCTCATTTCATATTCCTTTTCAATGGATGCTGTGATTCTATTTATTCTCTTAGACAGCCTTCATCTCCAAGGATTTCAATCTCAAAGTTTTAGGAAACTCTGATACATTGCATTCAAGTGTGAAACTCCATCCCTTTAATTCACATAATGCAAAAAATCTGAGATTAAATTATAGCTACTGAAATCAGCAATTTTCTTTTAGACATAGGCGTGGTTTTTATTTCCATACTTCCTTTTTAAATCTTATTTCCTATTCTAATATGGAACTGTATGACATTTTCTCTTTCAAAAAGCCTTACTTAGTTTCCCATACACGACAGAAGTATGTGATAAAGACAGTAATCGTATGAGAATGTATGGTGGTATTTTCTGGCTGTTTTATTGCTTTCTTCTCTGGCATACTAATAACCACTGATACATATAATATGACCTTTATCATGGTATACATTTATTAATCTTTTTTTGTAAAACAGTAATTCATCAATAATTTTTGTATCTTTAAACTTCCATATAAAGTTTAAAATATTGTAAGACTATTTAAGACTCTCTGTTTTACTTTCCTTTGCATGTGAAACATTTAAAATAACCACTCTTCAGTTTTCAGGGGCAGTGAGTGCCTGTATTTCCGGAGAAATTCATTGTCAAACTGTGATGTTTCATACATTGTCTAAAGGCACTGCATTCATGGAATATGCCATTTTTAGGAAGTTTTCTCTGAATAAAAAATTCCAAATTTTGACCTTCATTTTACCTAATGAGAGAGCATATGCAATTTGTACAAGAAACTTCATATGTTACATTCTGGATGTTCTTTAATTGATTTGTCCTCTCTGTTTCATTTTGTATTCCCTTTTACATGTGCCATACTTTTTCTAATGCATTGCTAGCAGTCCAATACAAATGTCAAGTGTCTAAACATATCTACCAAATCTGTTGCTCAGTGGATTTAAAATTCAGCCACATTGGCTCAAAAAATGCAATGAAAACTTGTTGATTTCATTGTTGACAATGAAATTGTTGACAATCCAGTTCATTGAATGAATGGTAAGGATCACCTGTTCAGGTTGCAAGCTGAGACAACACATCAAACTCACTGTTTTATAAAACAGACTCATGTTACACAGTACTTCCAAGCTGGAGTTCTACACCACTTAGAGTAGGAGATTATATTAATGAATTGAGAACAAAATGGACAAGTGCTTTTTTGGACAAAACCCACCTTTCCACTGAAATAGCATATTCACTGCAAAAAAAACTTTGTCATACTATTCTTCTGTTTACACAATGACACAAAATGAAAAAATTCTCCGTCAAAATGTGCAAAGTTTCAGTAATTTTGTAACAGCTATTAAAAGGAAAAATTATTTTACTTACCAAGCCAACTTCTGTTTAAATATACTGACACAAACACTGGAGGGACCGTGAAGAAATCTACCACTGAGTTAACTTCTAGCCAAAACCATAGCTTGTCATTGGCTGCTATAAACTGGAGGGAAAAAAAAAAGAGGAGGAGAGATCAAAGAATCAGATTATGTTCACAATGATTGCATGTATGTGAAATATTTTCTGTTCTAAAATTCTAAACTCAAAAGTTAGTGTAGTAATTGATGTTTTAAGTCAGTCCAGACAAAACACGTCACACTAGAAAGAAGTTTGTACAGTGTATTGCTTGATAATCACACTGGTATTAAAATGAAAGGTCTAACTGAAGAGATAGATCATATATGTGATGAGTTGTAATATCTGTGCTAAAAAATATTTTTCCACATTTATTAACAATGTACCAGTATTATTAGGGAAGTACAGGCAAGTATAAAACATTTCGAAGGATATCACCTTTGCTCTAGCACACGAAATGTACTGGTAGTAGTCTCATCACGCATTTGCTGCTCACAGGTTTCTAAATACATAACAGTTTACAAAGAGTCCTATTATCATCTGTCCAGAGGAGATCACCAGGATGACTCCTACAAGGCATAGTTCAGGACTGCACCAGCACTGCAGTCCTTTGAACTGTGCCATAAACGTGGTCATTCCTGCCTCCTGACTATGAAATCAGCCTAGGGAAACTGGTGAACTTAGATGCCAAGGACATCATAGACAAAACTTGCCTCTGTGCTTAAATAAGGTCAAACTATTATTCTCATTTGAGTAATAATTAAAACATAATTAAAACATTTGCTTTATAGAAATATGAAATTTAAATATACAAATAAATATAAAATTTTAGTGCATCATGAAGACATTTACAGGAGCAGTTTTACTCATTTAAGTCTTGAAACTTTGACTAACACATTTAAAAACAGTGTTTGTATTTTTTTGAGTTAAAGAGAATAATCATTGTGTTTCTTTCAAAGTAAATACAGACAATCTCTATTTCATTCATTTCCTTGCCTTAGAAATACTTTAAAACTTTGACAGAATAAGTTTATGGTGCGTACCAACTTTGCTGGAATGCCAGATTAAATATTTGAAAAGGAGACTGTACTGATGTCAAAAATGTTGAAATCATATTTAAAAATAAGACCAACAACATGAGCAGGATTTGCTTCCGAGAATAATCAAAACGGAAAATAAATTGATATTTTCCTAGTCTGTATTACCCAATATCAATGTTCCAGGTCGAAAACAGAACAAAAATATCCGGTTTAAGCGGAAGATTTTTATTCCCTTTTATTAAATTTAGAAGTAGTCAGAATATTTGAAAGTAAAAGCTTTTTAAGATGTCAGATCAATATTTTCATAACTTACAATATATGTTCCAATCATAGTTTTTTCTTTCCATAGGGCACAACCTTTAGGCTTTCAAACAAATTAAAGTCAATGAAAACGAAGCCTGTTGACTGTAAAGGTCACTTATACTTTTCTGTGTAAGTACTGCAACATTTATTCATTTAGGTAATTAGCAACTAGTAAAAGCCCATTTTGTTACATCTTTTAAAAGCACTAGCATAATTCTGTCCCTTTCAAAGAAGGATTACTGTCACACTTTCCTTTTCTCTGCCAGATCCTATTGCTTGATAATATGCTAACTCATGCAGTTTGGACTTAGTCTTCATCAGAATTTTGAAGGCTTCACTTCTGAGCTCTCATATAGTTGGATACTAGCCAACAAAGATTTTAAAATGGATATATGTGTGTTTGAACACAAATATCTTCTATAACTGAAGATATGGCAATATTTACGTGATTTTGAGTTGCAACATAATTTTGAGGAGAACAGATGGAAAAGGATGAGATTCTAAAATATTTCTTCAAAATCTGTAATTTGCCAGTGAGTCCTCACAGGAGATATTTGTCAGAGAAAAAAACCCTAAACCACTAAAATACCTAAAGATATGAGATGCTTATTGCATAAGTAGTAAATTCATTATTGATCCAATTCTTGTGTCTACACCAAGTGTTACCTTTTCCTCAGAAACTACTGTTTAGTTCATCAGGACTTCTTGGAGATCTGAAGGTACACCTATGTTAGCATTTTAACTTAGATAAGGAATACCAATCTGAAGTGAATCCTTATCATTCCCACTTACTATATCCTTGGTTTGCATCACAAAACAATTTTGGATAACACAAGAATTTATTTTGCTTGAAACTAAAACTGAAAAAATGAGTTCTGGCAGCGCATCTCACTCACTTTAACTGCTAAAGTGCATTCAGTCCACAGGACCAGAGTGCAGTCTACAGAGCTATCTCTTTCTTTCAAAAAACATACAGTGCAGACATGAAAGTATTAGCATCAGCTCTCAGTATCTTCTCTCTTATTGTGCTCTACTTCTTGATAATGTAACCTAAGTTACGGCTTTGAGTAAGAGTGGACAATATGTAATTTTAATTCTTTTGGTAAGAAGATACAACCTTATTACTATCACAAAATTTTCAAAGGATTTGGGTACTTCTAAAAAAAGATTCTTGGAGGTTCACAACTACCATGCATTGAACCCATTATGTTAAAAAGTTAACCTACATTGCAGGCCTTACGGATGTCTACTAAAGCCTCACCTTTAAGAATTAGGGGCTATTACACTATATGCTTTTAAAATATAGCTTAGAATGCATACATAGTAGTGTAAATACTGAAGGAATTTATCTACAGCTACAGGATAAACACTGCATCTAGACTAGGTGATGAAATAACCTAGATTTGCAATATAATTCCTTACTGTATCTTCAGAAAAAGTTGGTTACATTGGTCAGAAGTGAAATAGAAGGAACTCGACTATCACTGTGACAAAGGGGCTCCTGTGATTCAGGAACAAAATGGACAAAGAAAGATCAGGAGGCAATATTTGTATCAAATTTAAAACCCGATGCAGGGTTTCTGCTCACATGATGTTTTCCTTGTAGTTCTGTTAGGTTTGAGGCTTTTTTTCGCTAATTTTCCAATTAAGAAGCAAAGATGGTTTTCAAAGTGTATTAAAAAAACCCAAACTCACAACCAAATGAAAAAAAGCCAAACCAACAGCTTGAATTGCAAGCATTACTAGCCCAAAGTTTATTAAATGCCTACCTGTTTCAGATGTACCAACTTTTAGATCCTGCAACAGCATGACTGGATTTGCAGAAAGTGACGAGTACAGTCTAAGGTTCTGTGTTTCAGCATATTGACTAGTATTTATAGCTTCTGCAAAGCGCTCATTAGCAGTCTGGGAAAGTGGATGTGTGTAAAGCTGAATACAGCAGCTCTAGCAGGTGTTATCTCAACCTTTGACTGCCAAAGACATATTTAACAGCAGAGGAACAGATCAACTCTTCATCAGTTTTGCTGAAGTAGTTATCACACCATTGAGAACAATGAAACTAGATTCCATGTCACTGACCAGCACTGAACTGTTACAGTTTTCTCTTTCTATCACATGAGAACAGTCTGGGACAGCTTCACTTATAAACTATTGGTCTCCTTAGTGATCTTAGATTCTTCTTATTACCTAAATGTTCCAAATAAAATGCTTTGATCCTGCATTTTAGAAATTAGCTTAATTCTGTCCAGCCATTGCAGAGTCAAGCTGCATTGAAAGACTCTCCCTCCCTCATGCTATCAAAGACACACACACTACTTACACGCAAGCCGAAGTAGAGTAGGAAGAACACATTGAAAGCCATGTCGATCTGTAATGTGAAATCTTTGTAGAAATTCTGGCAGGATTCTATTGGGCTATTTGAAACAAAAAGAAATCAGAATAAATTGTCAGTATGCAAGTTTCTATTCTGCTGAGAATTTTATGCATTTCATTAAAGGCCTTGATTCAGAAATAATTTTTCTGTTTTCCAGTCGTTTACAAGATAGAAGCAAGCATTTCAAAGGAATTATTTCATTCATTCAGTTAGTCATTCATACAGTGTTTATATTCACCTATTCAGGTAATATCTGAGAGTTAACATGCAGATACCCTTAGGAAAGGACAAGCAGGAGAATACCTCAGGATTCCTTAACCCCACATTAACCCTTAAAGAACTGACTTCTTTCTAAAGGAGATACACCTACGATACTTTAGGAAAAACCCTAACAAGCACACAGCTACTGTGAAACATTACATGCTTTTAATTAATGTCATAATATAAAACCTTTAACAAAAAAGTAGTTGCTTAGGAATACATTACCCATTAGCAACCTGGGGTACTTAGTCTTGTAGAATCCCTCGTTTATAAGAAGTTGGTTGGGTTTTTCTTTTTCGCACTTCTTTTTTTTTTTTTGTATGGCTATTTAATGTACTTTATGTACAGTACTATGAACTGAGTAGAAAAGCAGCATAGCCCATTGGTGAAATTAAATAACAAAATAAATTGAAGAATTTGAAGCAGTACTCTAAGGGTTAATTTCTGCATGCAGGTTAATTAAAATACCCTTCTGTGTGTCAAGCAGCCATTGCAAATTATAGCTTATTATATTATGCTTTATTTAACAGTGGGACAGATCCAAAGCTTACTCTATACAAACTGGTACTTTATAGATATACTTTTATCTGAGGAAGGCGATAACTTCCACAAGTATCATTAGTGATTTATTTGTGAAGTTTCTAAAATAGGTTGTTGAAGCCACAGTCCAATACTGTAGTCACAGACCAACGTGAAAATCATGTCCCAATATATGCTGATGTATATACTATATATACATAATGTCCCATCATATATACATACATATACACACATATATTGCAAATGATCATGTGTTCATCACAACTAGAATAAAACAGCAAACCGGAACGCAGATCATTTGATCATTTGGAGCCCTAGAAAATATCCTTTTAGAAAAGCAGAAATTTGTTGGCTTTCCAGGTCAAATAAATCACTGAATGTGGATCTAATACCAGTTAGTATAGCAGTAGCTCTGCAAATATAATGCTAGACTGCTCAACAAGCAAGATTCTATGCATTATGAATGTCAGTTACCTAATTAAAGGCATAAAGGATATTGTCTGGACTACCAGGTCATTACACATGCAGCCAAATTTTCCATTCCTTGTATACATTACAGGTCAAACAAGTTAAGTACAGCATGCCCTCTCCTGTCTTTAGATGTATGAATGTATACAGTTAAATTCTCCTTGTTGTACAATAGCTTTATATTTTAAGAAGCTTCAGTGCTATAGGAAATTTTATTAAAATTGTTTTTCAAAGGCTATTTGCAAAAACATCGAACTTATGAGACATTTTTGTTACACTTCAAATAAAACTGATTTACACAAACAGGCAAAAGGCAATAGAAGCCAAATGTCAACATATAGCACAGCAGACAGTACCTCATACTTTACAAATATAGCTTTAGCTACAAAAACAGTGGATGTAATCTGAGAACCCAACTGGATCATTTTCTTTATGGCATTATTGAGAGCAAAGGATTTTGTCAAAATAAGGTAGGTTACACACTGAGTCACTATGCGCCCTACCAAAATAAATCACAGGAAGTACTGTGGAAGCAGAATCAACAGCCCTGCACCAACACAGAGGCTTGGAAGCA